AGTACCACATTACTTATTCCTTCCTCATTTTCCCCCTTCTCAGGCCCAGAAAAAGACCATGATCTCAGAAGGAAAGTGGAGACCATGCCCTTCCTCTGTGGCAATAATATTTTCTTGGAAAAGGGAGAAGGTGAAGATATGGATGGAGGAGGTAGCTCAAAGGGGCCCTAGGTGCTGGGATTTACACACCATGTTGACATTCTTTCTGTGTTCATTCTTTTTTTTTTTTTTTGCTAGGCAATGGGGTTAAGTGACTTTCCCAGGGTCACATAGCTAGTAAGTGTCAAATGTCTGAGGCCGGATTTGAATTCAGGTGCTCCTGGCTCCAGGGCTGGTGCTCTATCCACTGCAGGATGGAAATAATTCTTGGTCATTCCAGGGACCTTCCATGAATAAGAATTTCCCAAATGATGGGTGACTAAGGGAGGATTGGGAACATTCTTCTTTAAACAAATACCAGTACAGCCAAATCCTTCTGGACTATTCTGAGTGAGGGACTTCTTTAAGACAGGGAGATGGATCAAATGACCTTTCAAGGTCTTTTCTAGTACTGGAACTCCTGCCTCATTTTTTCTCTGCACTTTGAGGAAGGTTTGTCTCTGGGTCTCAGGTGAGAGAAAATCTTGCTTGGGCTCTTCCAGGGCCTCATGTTTGGATGGTGGTCATTTTAAGCCAGAGGAAAGCCATGCTTTCCTTACACAGTTCTGTATAACATTGCTTTGTGGGATTCAGAGAGGAATATACTACACATAACAGTTTACTACTTATCTTCTATATACCCAAGTTGTGTTAAATACTGGTAAGGGATAGTGGTTGGATATAGAGAAATATATGACATAACTCCTGCCTTCCTGGTGCTCTCAGCCTAGTTGGGGAGATAGGACATCCATGTGAAACAGAAAACAATACAAACCAGTACACAATGAAGCGATATGTTTAATACAACTAAGCTTCATGAATGTGTAGGTAAGAGGTGCTATGCATGGTCAAAAACGGGACAGATCAGTCTGGAGTTACCAGGGCAGGCTTTACAGAAGATGTAGGATAGTACATCCATGTGAAACAGAACAATAAAAACCAGTACCCAAAGAAGCAATACATTTGATACAACTAAACTTCATGAATGTGTAGGTAAGAGGGGCTATGAATAGTCAACAAGGAGAATGGTCAGTCTGGAGTTACCAGGGCAGGCTTCATAGAGGAAATAGGACTGGGCTACTCTTTAAAGTATGAGAGAGCTTTGGATAGGCAAAGAGGAGAGGTTATGGAGTTCTAAGTGGGGGGG